TCCTGTATACACATCCATTTTGCAATGGTTGATGTCCAAAGTTGGCAAATACAATATTAAGGAAGTTAACAAAAAATAAAAGAAGCCGAATCAATCTAATCCAATTGCGTCAAATCATACCAAGCTTGCCTGATTCATAGGCCTATACAAGGTTGGATCATGTGATCAGGTTCTCATTCATATCTCCAATGCATAGCTAACTTGTATGTAACTTATATAAAAAATCATATAAGAACATGGAGTTTGCAAATGGCAACAATTCCTAAGTGTAGTATTTATTGAGGCGTTTTAAGGAAAAATTGGTCACAAATAATGGCGTTTGAGATTGAGATTTAGCAATGAAAACAAATGTTATAAGATTAATTATACTGCTCAAAAGCACAATGTAAAAATCATTTAGTCCTATATTTCAATCATAACCAAGTGTTTGATGATTTACATAAAATAAGCAAAAATTGAAAAAAATTGTATTTGTCACTATTACTATAAGTAATTAAAAGTGCGAATGGCCAATATATGATTTAAGTATACAAATATTAGCGCCCATAATGTATAGGAAATAAGCACTCAAAATAAACATGTAGTCTTCCCAAGCCAATGAGAAATAGAGAAACGAGAATCAAATTAATATCATATACTATTATACATTCTTATCGAAGTTACCAACGAATGCTAAAATTAAATACCTTTGTAAATTTGAATAAGAGATCTTGTTCTCGAATATTTGTAATTTTATCTAAAAGTGAGTCATTAATATACAAGAAAAATAGTCTCACAATACTCTATTGAGCACCTGTTTTAGCAATGAATAAATGATATCGCGATGGTTCCCGGGCGAAGAACGATTGGTTTGCGTCTTCCATGTGAAAGCATCTTCATAGTAGGGCGCCATTCCGACTGGAGCTGTACGAAAAAGAGATGGGCGCTCAGCATGGTTGGACTGTGGAAACCGACACGAACAGTTACATAATCAACCGCTATCAAAATAACCGGCCCACCAGACAGCATGACCCTTTAACATTAAATGAGGTTTATCAAACAATGCCGAAATTACATTTTTTAAAGCAATTAAAAACAATCCTCAAAAAAAAGTATTAAAACTGGATTGGATAGACCAAGGTTCAGGGCCCTCCTACACTCAAATGAGCCCAAAAGAAGTCCAAATAAGACAAACAAGTATCAATCTTTCCATAGACGGGATGATATAAAAGGCATATAAAGCAACGATATTGTCAAGATGGACGAATATTAAAGAAATTATTTCAACCATACTCGATAAAAAGGCTGAAAATAATCAATCAGAATGAGACTATCGACAAGACAAATGTTATTTTGAGGCATAATAAACAGGACAATCCAAAAGGATGCCATTGGAGTGAGTAATGGAGTAGAATAAAGAAGGCAATGAAAGGTTCTCCATTCTACTGTAGCTTTCATTTCGTGCTAAAAAGAGGATGAACAAGAGTCTAAAATTGACCCCACCTGAATCCATAGAAAGATCGTCGCTGAACAGTTGTGACAGTGGATTGATGTGGTGACGATCTCGCTGCACCGTACCGCAATCGCGACCCACCCGTTCGGATATTGTCAGAGCCAGAAACCATCAGTTACAAACATTTACAACTAAAGCACACCGAGAAAAGTGTCAGGTC